ATGGCAGGCCACTCACTGACAACTAGGCCAAATACAGGATCCAGATGTGCCTAGAAGCTCCAGACTTTCCTGGAAGCTTCTTCTTATATATTGGAAGCAGACGACATCCTGAAGGCAGCTGCTCACAGTAGATTCCACCACAGAGCTGATTACCAGTCTCATCATGCAGAATAACTATATCCAGCGGCTCACGCACTCAAAACAAGGCCCAGCCAATGTGATGTATAACCTTAACTACCACAGCACATATAAAACAAATGTAAAATAACCCATATCAGTGCAATCATATAAAAAAATATTAAATGTGAATGGAATAGCGCAGAAGAGAAAACTTCTGAAATAGTAAACACCTCTATAAATCCATTTCTGTCATGTAATCAATGAGAACATTTCATAATCAACTATTTAAGAACTCTGCAAATTAACAGAGACTTGGAACAAACCAAAGAACATTTATTCAAGAAAAACAGCTCAATCTCAGAAACAAAGATGAGCTTGTGGTATTTTAACTCGCCTTATTACAAAGAATGGGAGCTCTGGTGGCGCAGTGCCTAAGGCACTTGACTGCTAACTAGAAGGCTGGCGGTTCAAACCCACCAGTCACTCCTCGGAAGGAAAGTTGGGCAATCTACTTCCATAGTGATACCGCCTCGGAAACCCAAAGAGCAGTCGCTATGAGTTGGGTCCGATGCAACGGCACATAACAACATTACAAAGAATACTTGAAGAAACAATGACTAAAAAATCCTCAATTTTGGTAATATACTAATAATACTCTACACATCAAAGCACCTCAAGAAACTCCAAGTAGGATGAACTCAAAAATATCCATACCGAGACACATCATAATCAAACTATCAAAAGCCAAAGACAGAAAATCCTGAAAGCAGCAAAAGAAAAAGCAGCTCAACATGTACAAAGACAGTCAGGTGACATACTCAAAGAATTAAAGGAAGAAAGGAAGGGGAAAAAAAAAGGTGCTAATCAAGAGGTTCCAGTAAAATGGCGGAATAGGCAGAAAGACTGCACAGACCCTCTTCAGCAAAGAAAAGGGGAAACAATTAACACAGACACAGAAGATAATCCTAGACCCCTGGGCCTTGAAGGGAAAGGCATAGAAGGGGACTAAACTCCAACTAGCAAAAGAATGTACATGAAAATACAAAAAAAGGAGACATACGGAGCTGTAGTCTGGCAGCAAGCCTGACAGC